GTGTTATGATATATATTGGTTTTGATCCACAGCTCCTGGCTCCTGACTCCCATAGCCCCTGTTAGCCTCAAGGGCAGTATCTGACCTTCTCCTGCCCTCCTTTCACTCTGACATTCCAGGGTCTTTTCTGACTGTGGGCCTTAAGACCGTCCCATCAAGCTTTCATGAAAACCCAAGAGAAAAGAGTTCGGTGAGCTTCCCGATGCATGAACACCTGGAGGTTCCTGGAGGGTGGAGCGCCCAGAGAGGGCATGGAAGCTCCACACCCCTTCCCTCATACCTCGTCCTCCGTGCCTCTCATCTGTATCCTTTGCAATATGCTTCCTTCCCCCCGCCTCTCCCGAGACGTGGTTTCACTCCGTCACCCAGGCTGGAGTGCAGTGGCGCCATCTTGGCTCACTGCAACCTTCACCTCTAGGGTTCAAGAAATTTTCGTTGCCTTAGCCTCCCTTCCTTGTAGCTGGGATTACAGGGGCCTGCCACCACACCCAGCTAATATTTGTTTTTGTTGTTGGTGTTGTTGTTTAGTAGAGATGGGTTTTCACCATGTTGGCCAAGCTGGTCTCTAACTCCTGATTTCAAGTGATGCACCTGCCTCCACCTCCAAAAGTGCTGGGATTATAGGCACACCACCCCTGCAATATGGTTTCTAATAAACCAGTAATTGTCAGTGTTTTCCCAAGTTCTGTGAGCTGCTCCCACAAATTAATTGGACCCAAAGAGGAGGTCATGAGAACCCCAACTTGAAGCCTGCCAGTCAGAAGTTCTGTAGACCAAGACTTGGGACTGGTGCAGGGCAGGGAGGAGTTTTGGGGACTTAAGCCCTCAACCTGTGAGATCTGACACCATCTCTGGGTAGATGATGTTGGAGCTGAATTAAAGGACACCCAGCTGGTGTCCACTGCTAGGTGGGGGAAAAAAGCCCCATGTATATGGTCACAGAAATCTTCTGTGTTGATTGTTGTGGTGTGAGAGTAGAGGAGGTGATTAGAGAGAGGGTTTTCTACACAACTGATGTCAGTGAAGTGGGATTTGCAGGAATGGCCCTGATTCACATAAACGTGGTTTGGGAAGAAAAAGGATAAAAGGGTGGGAGAAGGCTGAGTGCAGTGGCTCACACCTGTAATCTCAGCACTTTGGGAGCCCGAGGCAGGCAAATCACGAGGTCAGGAGTTTGAGACCAGCCTGGCCAACATGGTGAAACTCTGTCTGTACTAAAAATACAAAATTAGCCGGGTGTAGTCTTGGGTGCCTGTAATCCCAGCTACTTGGGAGGCTGAGGCAGGAGACTCGCTTGAACCTGGGAGGCGAAGTTTGCAGTGAGCTGAGATTGCACCACTGCACCCCAGCCTGGGCAACAGAGTCAAACAAACAAACAAACAAACAAAAAAAAACATCATGTTGGGGAAGAGGAATCTTTGATTCCTGAGTAACCACATGGTCACTGTGGTGTGAAGCTGCAGCTCTGTTGAGATCAGTTACTAAAGGTAAAACTTAACCAGTGGAATTTAGAGATGGATCCAACTCCCCATGAATTGGTTCATTGAATACATAAGGAAATGCAAATTAATAAGAAAGACACGAAATATTCAATCCCTTGATTGTTGTTATCGAAAATGGTCAAAATGAAAGGAAAAGAGGGTGCTGGGTTAGGAATTGAGGCTGGACCAAGCACAGATGTGCATCTGGCTGAACTTAGGCCACTCACCTCAGAGCTACCCACAAGGAGAAAATTATGCAGGGACAACAGAAAGTACCTCTGAGACCTGTGGTTACCAAGACAGTAGTCAGTGTGAAGGAACCAAGTAACTATCGAAACAAGAGAGTGGAGTGTGAAGCAATTGTTCCAGTTTGTAGATCAGTATCATCAGCTTCCAGAGGAAACTTTACTAAAAGGGATTCTGAGAGTAACTAATTTAGGGGCAGTATTAAGAGTGAAAGAGCGTGTTTGGGTTGATGCAGGACTCACAGTGCACTATTCTAGTCACAGTTGGGTATACATGATGCAGACACAAAGGAGGTTATTTTTGAGGGAACGGCAAGCCTGGCGGAATATATAGAAGTCATGTAAAGGCCGGTTGCAGTGGCTCACGCCTGTAATCCCAACACTTTGGGAGCTGAGGCAGGTGGATCACCTGAGGTCAGGAGTTAAAGACCAGCCGGGCCAACATGATGAAACCCCGTCTCTACTAAAAATACAAAAATTAGCCAGGTGTGGTGGTGCATGCCTATAATCCTAGCTACTTGAGAGGTGGAGGCAGGAGAATCGCTTAAACCCGGGAGGTAGAGATTGCAGTGAGCCAGAATCATGCTACTGCACTCCAGAGTAAGACTCTGTCTCAAAAAAAAAATTGGCTGGACACGATGGCTCATACCTGTGATCCTAATCCCAACACTTTGGGAGGCTGAGGCGGGTGGATCATGAGGTCGAGAGATCGAGAACATCCTGGCCAACATGGTGAAATCCCATTTCTACTGAAAATACAAAAATTAGCCGAGCCTGGTTATGCAAAAGGTGGTACATCTATACAATGGAGTATTATTCACTTGTAAAAAGGAAGGGAATTCTGACACTTGCTACAAAATGGAAGGATCCTGAAGATATTGTGTTAAGTGAAAGAAGCTAGACACAAAAAGACAAATACTGTATGATTCCACTCATATCAAGTGCCTAGTCAAGGGGAAGTTAACCGTTTAACTGCTATAGAGTTTCAGTTTGGGAAGATGAGAAAGTTCTGGAAATGAATGGTGGTGATGGTTGCAGAATAGTGTGAGTATACTTGAAGCCACAGAACTGTAGTATGCAGTGCTTACAAATGGTTACAATGGTAAATTTTAGCCAGGAGTGGTGGCTCATGCCTGTAATCCTAGCATTTTGGGAGGCCGAGGCAAGAGGATTGATTGAAGCCAGGAGTTCAAGACCATCCTGGGCAACACGATGAGATCCCCATCTTTATAAAAATACATTTTAGGTCGGGCATGGTGGCTCACACCTATAATCCCAGCCCTTTGGGAGACTGAGGCTGGTGGATTATGAGGTCAGGAGTTCGGGACCAGCCTGGCCAATATGGTGAAACCCTGTCTCTACTAAAAATACAAAAAAATTAGTCAGGCGTGGTACGTGTCTGTAGTCCCAGCTACTTGGGAGGCTGAGGCAGAAGAATCACTTGAATCCAGGAGGCGGAGGCTGCAGTGAGCCAAGATCGTGCCATTGAACTCCACCCTGGGCAACAGAGGGAGATTCTGTCTCAAAAAAAAAAAAAAAAAAAAAAAAAAATTAAATGGCCAGGTGCAGTGGCTCACGCCTGTAATCCCAGCACTTGGGGAGGCCGAGGCGGGCGGATCACTTGAGTTCAGGAGTTTGAGACCAGCCTGGCCAACGTGGTGAAATCCTGTCTCTACTAAAAGTACAAAAATTAGCCGGGTGTGGTCGCGGGCACCTGTAATCCCAGCTACTCAGGAGGCTGAGGCAGGAGAATTGCTTCAACCCAGGAGGCGGAGGTTTCAGTGACCTGAGACCGTGCCACTGAACTCCAGCCTGGGCGACAGGGCAAGACTCTGTCTCAAACAAACAAACAAAGAAAAACCACATATATAAATTAGCTAGGCGTGGTGGCACATGCCTGTAGTCCCAGCTACTTGGGAGGCTCAGGTGGGAGGATCACTTAAGCCAGAAGTTCGAGGCTACAGTGAGCTATGATCGTGCCACTGTATTCCAGCCTGGGTGACAGAGCGAGAAAAAATAAAAAATAAAAAGGTTACATACATGTGTATGTATGTATTGTAACACCATTAAAAAACAGAAATTTAAAAGAAGAAAAGTTGGCTTCCAGCGCTTGAAACTAGCAAAGCTGGTAGTCACTCACCTACCAATATAGATAGGCGACTCTATACCGGGACAACCACATCCACCTGGTTGCTCCGCCCCTTTCTTCCTCTCCCCATCTCTCCCCTCTCCTCCCTGTCCCTCTGCTCCCCTCCCCGTCCTCCCCTCTCCTCCCCCCACACATCCAGGTTCCGACCCTGCCACCCCCAACGAGTCTCACTGCGCAGGCGCGGAGCGGTGGGCGGGAGCGGGCGTGGCCTGACTCTGCGCCTGTGCCGAATTCCAGCTGCAGCTGCTGAGGGAGAAAATGATGCCCAGGTTGGGCTCCCCGGCCCGCCGGCCTAGGAAAGGCCTGCGTTGCACACGCGCAGACCGAGCATCCGTGTCAAGAGGGGAAGAGAGCGCGCGCTCCCCACGTCCTGCGCGGCTGGCTGCCAGGCATTCGTCTCAGCCGTGACTCTCGCCAGGCCGGGGCTGGCGCGCTCACGTCTGAAGAGTGATGCCCCGGGAGATCATCACCCTGCAGCTGGGCCAGTGCGGCAACCAGAGTGAGCAAGCGAGCCCCGGCCCCGCCGGTCTCTGGTTCTGCCCCTTCGGGTCCCACCCAAGTGCCGGGCTTCCACCAGTCCCCCTTTCCCTTCCATGAACCCCCTGTCCTGCTGCTCTGTATCACCCGACCAGAGCTGCGCCTCCAGCCCGGAGCTGGGGCAGCTCCCAGACCCACGCATCTTGGGTCCACCCTCTGATCGTGTCAGCCTCTGAGACTAAAACTGGGCTCCTCAGGCCTTAAGGCTCTAGCAGACCCGGGCATCTCCCTCTTCCCCCAGTTGGGTTCGAGTTCTGGAAACAGCTGTGCGCCGAGCATGGTATCAGCCCCGAGGGCATCGTGGAGGAGTTTGCCACCGAGGGCACTGACCGCAAGGACGTCTTTTTCTACCAGGTGCCGCCAGCGACTTGGCCGGGGGCGGCAGTGGCACGAGGGACCGGAAGGGAAGGGAGTGGCCTGGTACTGGGAGCCCTGCTGGGCAAAGGGGCCAGGCAACTGGCTTGAGGAGGGAGGGCCAGAGGGAGCCAGAGTTGGGAGGACTTCGGACTTGGGCCGCCCTGGCTGATTGGGCCTCATCCTGGACTCTCCCTGACAGGCAGATGACGAGCACTACATCCCGCGGGCCGTGCTGCTGGACCTGGAGCCCCGGGTGATCCACTCCATCCTCAACTCCCCCTATGCCAAGCTCTACAACCCAGAGAACATCTACCTGTCGGAGCATGGAGGAGGAGCTGGCAACAACTGGGCCAGTGGATTCTCCCAGGTGTCCAGGCCACAATTCCAGAGACCTTTGATATTCCCATCCAGAGGCAAGGCAGGCTCAAGCTACTAGGAATTTGACCGGACTGACAGAAAATGAGAGAAAAGGATGCCCAGAACAAAAGAGACAGTCAGGGAGAGGTTTATGCAAATTTTGTGCAAATCATTTGCAAAAGTAGCACTTCTGGGTTGAGGGCTACAGCCCCGGGTCTGCTTCAGGGTGGCAACAATATCCCAGGGAAGACACAATTCTTGGTGCTGTGCTGAGAAAAGATGAGCTCTGGAACCTTTGTCCTGACTCTCCTTTTCCATGTCTCTATACAGGGTGAGAAAATTCATGAAGACATCTTTGACATCATAGACCGAGAAGCAGATGGAAGTGACAGTTTAGAGGTGAAGTTATAGAGCAGGGGAAGGAATGGGAGGGAGGCTAGGCTGAAGAGTGCTGGGGAAAGGTCAGGAGGTGACCTGAATAGGTGATGTGAGGGGAGCAATTCAATTCAAAACCCATTTATGGAGCATCAGATGTGGAATATTGAGGAAATAAGATATAATCTTTGTTCTCAAGGAAGTCATAAATCGGGATGGCACCGGCCCCTTAGGCATGAGTCATTCAGCTTCTTCTCCAGCTCCAAATCTTCCCAAGGAGCCTCAGCCTGGATGCATAAGAGGAAGCTTTGAGACATGGGCGTTTTGGGAATGGGGAATGAGTCATGCCGAAGACTCTCCCCCAGATCCTTGGAGACTGCCTCTCCATCTCTCCCCATGCTGGGTGCAATATGTTCCCGGCCCACAGTTCTTATAACCCATGTAATTTCCTAAGGGACTTGAGCAATAAGGGTATGTTTTGTTAAAATATTTGACCTTTTGTCCTTGGTTTCTGAAACAGCTCCAGAACAGCTCCAGAGTGATAAAGGTGAAAGACAGTCTTTTGTTATTTATAACAAGCCCCTTTCTTTTAATCTTTCATTTTATTTTAATTAGTTAATTTTACTAACCATTGTACTAAGGAAGAACAAGTGCCTTTCAACCAAATCTGAGCTTACGCCATTGAGGTGATGTTTGGAAAGTCCCAGATAGCCACTGGATGGGGGTCTGGTTGCCAGGGAAACAAGCCTGGTGCTCTGAGAGTTGGAATTTACAGGCCCACCCCTCACCTCTGGGGAGGGGAGAAGGGATGAAGATTGAGTTGAGCACAAATTGCCAATGATTTAATCAACCATGCCTGTGTAATGAAGCCTCCATAAAAATCCAAAAGGACTGAGTTCGGGGGCTTCCAGGAAGGTGAGCAAGAACACATCCACATGCTGGGAGGGTGCAAACCCAACGCACAGGGCAGAAGTTCCTGTGCTCCGGACCTTTCCAGAGCCTCCCCTTGGTGTCTTCATCTGGCTGTTTATTTGTATCCTTTAAAATATCCTTTATAACAAACGGGGAAACATAAGTATCTCCTTGAGTTCTGTGAGCTACTCTAACAAATGAATTGAACCCAAGGAGCAGTCCTGAGAACGCCGATTTAGCTGATTTATAGCCGGTTGGTCAGAGGCACAGCTAACACAACCTGAAGCTTCTATTGGCATTGAGAGTAGGAGAATCTTGTGGGACTGAGCTTCACTCTGTGGGATCTCATGCTAACTTCAGGTACAGATACTCCTCAACTTACAATGGCTTTATCAGGATGTAAACCCACCATAAATTGAAAATGTCGACTAGGCATAGTGGCTCATGCCTGTAATCTCAGCACTTTGGGAGGCCAAAGCAGGTGGATCCCCTGAGCCCAGGAGTTCAAGACCAGCCTGGAAAACATGGTGAAACCCCATCTCTGCAAAAAATAGAAAAATTATCCAGGCATGGTGGTGCATGCCTGTAGTCCTAGCTACTTGGAGGCTGAGACGGGAAGATGCCTTGAGCCCGGAAGTTCAAGGCTGCAGGGAGCTATGATCACACCACTGCACTGCAGTCTGGGGAACTGAGTGAGATCCTGTCTCTAAAAACAAATTTGAGCACAGCAGCTCATGCCTGCAATCCCAGCACTTTGGGAGGCTGAGGTGGGCAGATCACAAGGTTGGGAGATTGAGACCATCCTGGTCAATGCAGTGAAACCCTGTCCCTACTAAAAATAAAGAAAATTAGCCAGGCATGGTGGCATGTGCCTATAGTCCCAGCTATTCAGGAGGCTGACCAGGAGAAATGCTTGAACCCAGGAGGTGGAGGTTGCAGTGACCCGAGATTGCACCACTGCATTCCAGCCTGGGCAACAGAGTGAGACTCCATCTCAAAAGACAAAGCAGGCCGGGCGCGGTGGCTCACGCCTGTAATCCCAGCACTTTGGGAGGCCGAGGCGGGTGGATCACGAGGTCAAGAGATCGAGACCATCCTGGTCAACACGGTGAAACCCCGTCTCT